TAAGGTGTCAGTGCTACCTACTGGACTACCATGCCACCCAGCCTGGGATAAGGCAATGCAAAATGTTGTGTGTTTGTAAAACTGTATTCATTTTTATGCCCTAAATTATAAAGAAAGAAACACAGCCTACTTAAATACACATTTTCTTTAAAATATACATTACAAAAGACTATGTAATACTGACATGATTCCAATTTACATTCTCTGTTTTCATAATAGGAGATAGTGAGCTACAATTGCCGTGAACTGGTAGCAAACATGCCGCTGTTTGGCAACGGTGATCCACACTTTGTCACTGTGCTCCTGACTAAGTTGCGGTTCGAGGTTTTCTTGCCAGGTGATGTCATTATTCGCGAGGGTACACTGGGCCGTAAAATGTACTTCATCCAGCATGGCTGTGTCACTGTCATCACCCTTAACAAGAAGGAAAAGAAGCTCACCGATGGCTGCTACTTTGGGGGTGAGTACTGATTTCACTTGTTTTGGGTTTTAGATTTCATACGTTTTCAGTTATGATCATAGTGTTCTTTGTAGCTCTTCCAAAGTTTACATTTTGAGCCCTCTTTCTTTCCTTATCTTATAAGCAACTGTCTTTAAAAAAAATATTGTTGCTATCCTCCCATCACACATTCTAATTATTTAAAAATGATCACTGATAGTGAACAGCTTGTTGAAGAGTCTATTCCTTTTCTCAGAGATTTGTTTGCTGACCAGTGGGCGCCGTACTGCCAGCGTGCAAGCCGACACCTACTGCAGACTCTATTCTCTCAGTGTGGACAGCTTTAACGAGGTGTTGGAAGAGCACCCCATCATGAGGAGGGCCTTTGAGAGTGTCGCAATAGACCACCTTGACCACGTAGAGAACAATACTGCATATAACGCCACGCCTTCAGGAGCAGCCACAAAGGAACAGGCGACAGAGAAAACAGACAGTGACATATTATAACATCTTGCTAATTATTCCTTTTTGTCATCCACCATGTTGAGTGTCATCACCATCATTGGACACCAGTATATCTTGAGCCAAAAAGGACTTGTTCCAGGGATCAGCTGCCTAAAGGACTGGTTTAGCCGATTAGGACATTTTTTTTTAAACCCTGGTATCAAAATGCAAACATTATGTGCATACAGTAGTCAGATAGCAAGTGCGTTTATTGCTGGCATTTAAACTGACGCACATAGGCTGTTTCAGATGCAGTTAGTAATTAAATTTCACTTTACCCTTTCATTATGCAAACAAACACTCACATAATGTAAACCAAGCACATAACAGTATTAACCTCCCAAAGTTACAGCCAGGTGAACATTTGAAAGAGTCAGTCAGGCTGGATCACTTGCACAATTTAAGCCATTTTAAAGGTCGTTATCCAGATTGAGTCACATGCTAAACTCATCTGCCTGCATTGAAATTGGCACTAGTGTGTGTCTAACACGCTCTAGGAATACTATGGGTACAAACATATTATTAATTCCTGGTTTAAAATGGCTCTGGCTGTCCTGAAGAGCTTACTGGCAAGTATTACACAAGGTGATTCATCTGCTTAGAGTGATTAAACCTATCTTACCTAAGAAATGAACACAGGGACTTGTCAGGGTCAGGCATGTCTAAATAGACTGTAATGGAGGATTAAAAACATGGCTGACAAAGGCACTAGGTTTTCTATTGATAGCAAAAATAACTGTGGAAACATATGGGCAGAAAGATCGATTGTGTTTAAATAGTCTCAGACGATCTGCTTTGGGTTGATTTTCTAATATGACCAATGGTACGGAATCACTGATGGGATGTTAGAATTTTTTTTTTTCGTCTTCTGTATTTCACTGCTGCGCAAAAATGCTTCTGTGCCAAAAGGCCTGCTAGCTGGCCAGGTTTTCAGTAAACCCTCTACATGAAGTCGTTGTGAAGCAGTACAAGCGTACATGCTCTAGAAGATACACCCTCCTTACTGAAAGTACTACTGAAAGATGTACATTTTGTGTGTCCTGAATGAAGCAATGTGGCATAAAATGTGGTATCCATTGTACCATGCAGCATTTGCATCACACTAGTAAAAGACACAAGGGCAATTCCATGCAAATGCCAACATTACCATGGAAAAATAAAGTTGTGAGCACAGGAACAAAAAATTTTCACTCATGTCTTTTCACGGGATTTAACTTTTCTAGTCGAACGATTAAGAAAACTGCATTGTTTATACATCAGATGTATGGAGTACTGGTTCCGACATGTTGCAGGTTTCTTCTTAATGATGCATTCCCAAAACAAGAAATATTTTAAAATCTGTACTTTTAGTGTTCATTCGAGTCTCGTTCATGTTACACATGATACATTCTGCGATGGTCTTTAAAAGTTTGTAGAAAACGTCTCATGCAGACGTTTGTCCGTTTGACGTCACATACGTAACACTGAACTGCTGTGTATTTGAAAAGTGAGTGTGTTTTACGACATGGTGGCGTTCGTGTGTGTTCGCCTCATAATTACGATATTTCTGACAGCACTTGAAGGCAGTATTAATGTGCATTCGACTGGAGACCTGCAATCAGGAAAAACCCAAAGAATACAGTATGAATTCATACACTGACCCTGCGTCTCAGTTCACCTACTTATACTATGCACTAAAAGTATGTACTCTTTATGTGAAGAAAAAAGTACATACTTTTGAGTGTGTAGCCAAAGAGTATGCGAGAACTGGGACATACTGACTAACACGTCATGTAACGGAAGAGAACGTTGTTGCCTAGTTACGCACGCTGTCACCATAAACACCACCTCATTATTCCTTATATCATGTGTGCTATATCATTTAATTTACCAATCCCTTGATTTATTTTTAAACTTTTCATTTTTCACTTTTTACACCTCTCTAAAATGCGTCCTTGAATTCGGGGAAACAAACCGTCACGCAAGGATTTGTGGGCAATATTGGCTGAAAAAGTGTCCACGGATCCACACTCGGATACTATTTAGGACGCGAATTGCGGCGCAGCATCATACTCTGAAACTCGGGGTAGCCTTCTCAGAGTTCATCCGAGTTCAGGAAGTGACATCAAATCAACATGGCTGCTCACAGTATGAACAATAACCAAAGCAGCACTTCTTACTTTTAAATGATTTATACTGTATATACAAGCATTTACTTTTTAAATCTATAACTCTGACTATACAGGTCACCGTTTTGAGGAGGAAAATATACATCACTCATCACAGTAAAACTGTCGCTAACAAAAGAGGAACAGAACATGGAGGCGTCCATGTTTTTCTTCCCACTTCCCAAATTCCCACATTATAGGTTCCAGTAGGTGGCGGTATTCGCTCACTTGCTTTCCGCAGCAGCATCAGAAGAAGCAGAAGAAGAAGAAGAAGCATTTCCGGGTCCGCTGGGTAATGTTTTCCGCTCAACAGTTTCACTAAGCTGAGATCCGGGGAGCATACACGAAGGTAAATAGCTGCTGTGAGTCCTCTTATTCATTTTAACGATTGTAGAAATTGCCGTTAAGTGACACTGGTGTCCTGAAACGCTAACAGTGAATGCACAATGAGTAAGTAGCCAGACAACTTAAATGCCGAGCCTGTTATTGTAGAGATTGTGGAGGTCACCGCGAGAAGTGTCCATAGTGTCGGGCTGCAGTACAAATCACTCCCTAGTGGCTCTGTGTAGTGCACTAGGTAGGGTGCAGAGGCGCTTATGTCATATCCTGTGTAGTGCACTTGTATAGGGAGGAAGGTGGCATTCTGGATTCAGCCTCAGTTCAGTGGTTAAGTAACGTTTAGCTCGTAAATTGGACTTAAAAATGATAGACTGTTTGTTTTAGAGTTTCTGAGCTGTGACACATTATTGGTGTAGAGTTTGGAGCTAGCTGTGCTGTGATTAGTTTTTTATGTAGCTATAAAAATTGGCGAGATTTGTGTAAGGTTATTATACTAACGTTATCTAACTAACTAACTAACTAATTAATTATTCAGGATGCTGTTGGTTATGAATCAGTAATACAGATATACAGCATTTACATGTTCATCAGTTTATGACACTGTAAGACATTACCATAGACATTGCACTGTGTAGCAAAAGTATGTGCACCCCTGACCATCACACCTGTATGTGGTTCTTCCCCAAACTGTTACCACAAAGTATAAAGCACTCAGGTGTACAGAATGTCTCTGTATGCTGTAGCATTACAGTTTCCCTTCACTGGAACTAAGAGGCCCAAACCTGTTCCAGCATGACGATGCCCCTGTGCACAAAGCGAGCTCCATGAAGACATGGTGTGTGAAGGTTGGAGTGGAAGAACTCGAGTGTCCTGCACAGAGCCCTGACCTCAACCCCACTGAACCCCTTTGGGATGAACTGGAACACCGACTGCACCCCAGACCTCCTC